CTCTCTCTCTCTCTCTCTCTCTCTCTCCCTCTCTTTCTCTCTCACCCCTGCGCCCCCTCCTCCTGGCCGGCTCTGACAGTACGATGAGCTGCCTCATTACGGCGGGATGGACGGAGTAGGGGTTCCCGCTTCCATGTACGGAGACCCTCACGCCCCGCGGCCGATCCCCCCGGTTCACCACCTGAACCACGGGCCGCCGCTTCACGCCACGCAGCACTACGGCGCGCACGCCCCGCATCCCAATGTCATGCCGGCCAGCATGGGATCCGCTGTCAACGACGCCTTGAAGCGGGACAAGGACGCGATCTATGGGTAAACCGACCCCCGGACCCAGCTTACTGTGTGTGAGTGTGCGGGAGAGAGTGTGTGTGTTTCATTGGGGGGCGGGAGGTGGACAGCTAAAGTGAGGAGTAATTTCTGCATGGGGTTAGGAGGCTGCTTGCCTTAGGAAAAGACAGAGGAGGGAGCCAGCCCTTCTGCCCCTTGAGTCAAAGACCCGGAAGATACAGACTCCTCCACTCCCACGGCCCAGTCACTCCAAACCCCACAAACCAGAGTGACTGTGCCCTCAGAACCTTGCCTGGGCCTTCTCCCCAAGGACAGGATTCCTGGCCAAAGGACGCAGGGCTGCTCGTTCCAAGCCCTCTAACAGAGGCCTTGATGAAGGGGAAAGTTTCCTGCTGCTAAACAGCAACTTTTTTCCCCTCTTCAGTTTCCTAGCGAGGGTCTGGGAGTCACTAAAAGCAGCCTGAGCAGGGATCAGGGTTGCTTCTCCGGCCAGGAAGTCCTAATCACCCACTTCTTAATTCTCTGTAAATAAAGGGGGCAGACCTTGAAGTGCACCGGGGTGGAAGGGACGGCTGCTTGGCCAGAGCCGCGCTTGGGGGGAGTAGGAGAAATGGCTGGAAATTATTCTGTGTTCCGAGAGAACTCGGGGAGGGGTGAGGACTCATGGTACCAACGTGTACACCGCGGGCTCTTCCGGCTGAGGGTAGGTGGGGAAGGCAGCGGGGTGTCGAGGGGAGGGGACAGTGGATAAACAGCAACTGAGCTTAAAGCCAGAGGCCGCAAGCATCCCGAAGTGTTGGCGAACCACCCTGAGAAACACAAAGGGCATTTGCGCACGCACACATTCAAGTTTTAAAGCGCGATTTATTTATTTTTGTCTCCTGCAACGCTAGAAGAAATGTGGTCTTTGGAAGGCAGCTCTTTGGTGTTTAACATTCCTACTATTTGGGCCCCCACACCGGGCTTTACTAGACGTAGAGCAAACACATTTATAAGGCAAGGGGGTGGAGAGATTAGAAGTGCTGCTCTTAGGAAATGTCACTCGAGGTGTGTGAGTAGGTGAAGCATTTGGCCTTGTTTGCAATACCCTTTAGAACCATGTCTTATTTTAAAGATCCTCCCTTTTCTCATGAGCTCAGGGTTGGATTGCAGGCGTGGGTTCCACGGCCTCTGTAGTTGAGTGAGCCTGGAGGAACCGGGCTCCACACTGCCGAGTTTCTTGGACGTTTCATTACTTTCCCACTCAAGCTCTTTTTACTTGGCGGGCTAAAGTGGCTGGAGACTTCTCTGGCAGAGCTAAGGGACTTCCGAGCCGATGGGGAAAGGCCGGGCTGGGTTTCCTTTCTGTTTCTGACCCAGGCTCGGCTGACAGAGGAAGGGTTGTAAAGTGTGATGCGTGCCTGTTGTATTAAAGAAGGAATCCGAACCCTCCAAACTTGTTGATTACAGTTCTCGCTCCTTCCCCTCTGCACCCCGTCTCCGTGTGTGTGTCTCTGCGTGGCGCTGCCCGTTAGGCACCCGTTGTTTCCTCTGTTAGCTCTGGTCTTTGAGAAGTGCGAGCTGGCGACCTGCACGCCCCGGGAACCCGGAGTGGCCGGCGGAGACGTCTGCTCCTCCGACTCCTTCAATGAGGACATCGCAGTCTTCGCCAAGCAGGTCCAACCTTCTTGACCCACTCGCCCTCCTGCGGCCCTTCACTCTCCCTCCCTCCCCTTTCCTGTGAGCTTTACTTGAAAGGGGAAGAAAAGGCCGGGACACCCGATCTGTTCCTCTGGCCCACTCGGCACACTGCTCCTCCTCCTCATCCCTGAGCCTGGGGGCGAATGGGAAGCCGAGATAAATATGGGTGTTTGCCCCCACCCCCACCCCCAGCCAGGAATACAGGGGCTCGACCCTTGAATTAAAGTTGACCTGCCCCTAATCTGGGGCTTGGCCTTTTCCCTTGCCTGCAGCTACTTGAACAAGAACTGGGGAAAGGGGCTGTAGGGGACCGTGGAGTGCCGGGAGCCCCGGAAGCAGGCGCCTCTCCCAGAGGCCTGCCCGGGGCACAGAGGTGAGCGAGGCGCGGAGCCTCTGCCCCTGAGGCGGTGGATCAGGGTGAGCTGCTGGCGAGAACTGCCCAGGCTGCTGGCTGCGA